GTAATTAAGAATTTAATCTCTCACCACTCCTTGGCAAACCTCTTTTAGGCATTAGAATGCGTTTTCCTTTTTCTTAACCAATATTTACCCTTCCCCACAAACAAACAAAACCAGAACAACTCAAAAGATAATTAACAAATCAAAGCATTGTATAATTTTTAAAAGCTTACTAGTTCTTATAAAATTTATCTAGCTGTAGAAAAAAAAGAATATACATGTAAAAAATTTATCTAGCTATAGAAATGACTGAGAAGTGGAGATCATTTTGTTATTCTGAACTAAGGATGCATTTAAACTCAGTATATTTAGTAATGGTGTAGGTAGAAATGTAAAGCTTGCTAGAGTCCCAATGATAATGTGTTTCACTAATTTACAGATTTTCTGATAACTTTAATTTATACACTTAATCCAGTTCAGTCAAATACAATACCTTTAAGAAATGTTTTCATGATAGAGTTGATAGACCATCTAGAACATAAGAGCTCCTTACCTTTAATCCTGAAGTTTTAACTTTTCTTGCTGAAACAGGCAAGGTAGTATCTTTGTCAACAGTAAGATTTTGTTGAGATTCTGCTATAAAATGAATTGTACAGATCATGGTTGGTGCTTACGTGTTTGAACCACAGATAAAACACAATCCCCAAATTTCTTATAGCAACTATTAGTGAAGCAATATAAGGTCATTCTTCTCTTGACTGTACCTTTGCAAGTAATTAGTTGCACAATATTTTTTACACATCTAACACTTTTCTGATTTTCCTAATGTTCTCTCTAATATTCTCCAACAGAGGGTTAATGTAATTACTAAAAGGAAAACTAAATGCCTATGTGAGTGTCCTGCTTAATTCTACTGGCTATACAACAACGTAATGATGAAAACATTATTCTGTAGTTGGTACTTTTGTAAATCCATCAAATAAGACAATTTAAATATAGTTGTAGCTTCACATTTTTAGAAATACTATGCACCTTTAAATTGAAATACTGTTACTTATAACTTTAAAATTTATGAGATCATATAACCATTACTTTATTTTAGGATCCATTACCTTTTTGTTTTTTAAACCTTTGTGATTTCTGAAAGGATACTGGTCCTTTCAATACTTCTGAAGTTTTAACATCATAAGCACCTGGAGATGGTGCACAACCTAGAGGAAACATTAAATATTAATATTCCATCTCATGTGACTTACCATCTTAAGTTAAAAACATGTCATAGTGAAGTAATATAAATGTAAAAATGCCCTTATCAAACTGCTTCTTTTGTTTTCAAATGTAAAAATAGCACCTATTTGGTAACATAAAAGTAGGCCTCTCTGTGAAGAACAATCTCATTATCTTCCCAAATGACCTTTATTTCAATTGGGTCAAAGAAACGCAGGCAGCTAAGCAAAATAACAAAGACAGTATTGGGATGATTAAAGTCACTGCTTCCATCAATTCTGAACATCAAGGATGGACTTAAGTTTCCATTCCTCTGTCTGGAACAATGATCATTTATACGTGCTGACAGATTCCAAACCTGGGAGCTTTCAGATCTACATGTGGTCAATGAGGAGTAGATAGTAGATTTTCCAACCAGGAAAGAAAGTCTCAAAATGAAGTGTAGAATTCACTGGGGTATCTAAGTCAAAGGCATACTTAGTAAAAAGCATTAGTCTTGGCTAGCTCAGATTTCTCTCCCCTCACAAACTGTTTACACTCTGGGGTGAACAGAGGGGTTGCAGGGGTTTCCCTACATTCAGGTTAAGGGTGGCACATCTTAGAGCATCTAATTTACTCATCTGGGATAGGGATGGGGGAGGCAATGAAGAACATGTTAGAGTTTAAAGCAAGCAGTGGACTTCAAAGAAAACTGCCACTGTTAGCTATACTTTTGTGGGGAAGTTGTAAAGAGGGAATGCAGAACCAACGACTGTTCTTCTATGCTCCCTGCTCTTTGGGATGCTTCTTTGTGAAAAATGTGAGAAGTGCTGCTCTAGACTTGGCAGAACAGCCAGAAAATATAATGATGCTGAATACTAATATTCTAGTTCATCTTTAGGTCCACACTCTCCAAAGGGAAAAGGGCCAGCAAAAGATGTGATGATGGCCAGCGACTAAGCAGCACCAATCACGTTGAGACAAAGAAAACCATACTTAAAAAAAACTCTTCCTTAAAGATTAGAGTCAGATATGAGAGTTAATGGGGATTTAGATTCAAGAACGAGGCTGAAATCTAGCCTATAGACCTAGCAATCTTTGTGAGACTGTGGCACATGCCATTTTCATGCCCTAAGTCTTTCCCTTACTAACACTTAAATGTACAACAGAGATATGACTTGGGAGATGTCACAAGCTGGAACAACTTATATCTTTTTTTTAAGACCTCTGTTAGCTTCTGATCATTGTTCATCAGTTGCTAACAGAGGCAGTCAATACCAGTATGCAAACAAAACATTTTATGCATTATATTAAATAAATACTTTGAGCTTCCAGACCTCTTTATTTTTCTATCCCTTCCACCTAGGATGGACAGCCCACCTTCCATTTTGCCTAGCTAACTCTCACTTATCCTTCAGATATTGGTCCAGATGTCGCCTCTCCGTTTTCTCCGAGTCCTCAAATCAAATTAGAAAATCCATTCCATAGCAGCCTCCGATTATTGTTCCTATCACAGAACTTCTTGCAGTTTTGTAGTGGCTTCTAGTAAAGTATTTATCCACCTCCCACCTTAGACAAAACAGCTTGAAGTTAGGGACTGTATCCTCAATATTTAGCTCAGAGTTGAGTCTGACAGTATGCAAAGAAAACAGAAATGTCACTGGGGATGTGGGAATGGGAAGAGTTGTGTACAGTAATCAGCTAAATCAGGGTACAAATTCAGCTTTGTCTATCAATCAATAGATAATACTATGTGCCAGGTATTTTGTAGTTATAGGGAGAAGATGGTGAATAACATTATACTCTCTCATTTTCCATCCTTTAAGAACCCTGGAAAGTTATTTTTATTTGAGACTGATTTTTCATTCATAAAGAATAAAAAATAGTATCTACCTCATAGTATGGTTGTTAGGATTACTGGAGTGACATGAGAAACCACTACAGTGCCTCACACACTAATCATCGAATAAATGTTAACTGTTATTACTCTGAAACTGTGAGACTGAAATTTTGTGTAATTGGCAAAACCCGTTTAATCTACTATAAAGCAAAAAAAAAAACAACAACAACTCCTTAAAAGACACACTTTTGACAGAACTTAGAGTAGTTTCTTTGAATATCTGGGAAATAATATGGTCCTTAAGTCTTTTAATTAAAAAATTAGCTTGTGTTGGTCCATTTGCTCCCTTGGCTTTCCTTTGTGAGCAGAGTAACACTCATTTCCATTTGCATGTTGGCTGATAGAAATGAAAGGTGTAATGAGTGACTGTTAAAAGGTGAACATTGAGGTGGGAGTATAGCTCAGCGGTACAGTGCCTGCTTAGCAAACACAAGGTCCTGGGTTCAATCTCCAGTGCCTCCATCAAAAAAAAAAAAATTAATAAATAAATCCAATTACCTTCCCTCCAAAAAAAAATTAAAAATAAAAAAGTGTACATAACAATGGATAAATCATGAGCTTTGATGTTAAACTCTGTCACTTACAGGCTAATCAGTAGTTACAAAACCCCTTAGTTTCCTCAACTGTAAAATTAGGACAACATCAGTACCTGTCTCACCTGGTTGGAAAGAAAAAATCAAATCTAGTAGAGAAGATTTCGGCGCAGTCCCTGCATGCAGTTAGCGTACACTAAATGAGTGCCTTACCAACCACATCCAGAGCTTCCTGGTTATTGTGCTTATGCACTGCAGTGGTTTAGAGCACAGGGTGGGTTCATGGAGGCAGGGTTTCACGTCCCGGTTCTGACAGCTTGCTTGTGTAACACTGAACAAATATAAGTCTCCATCTTTTTATCAATAAAATAATGAATAATAGGATCACCTTTCGGGGACTTTAAGGGAATTAAAATACAACTAATAATTGATGTAAAGACTTCTATGGTGCCGGGGGCGGGGTACTGTCAAAATTAGCTCCCATTAAAAAAATTAGCTACCATGACTTCCTCTGTAGTGTTTTCGATTAAACGTTACTACATAATTTTACCCCCATAAACCTCCTTTACCAGTCTCCCTTCTTTTATACCTGAGTGGACTATCCAAGAGAAATCCACAAGTTCAGACAAAAAGCAATAGTAAAATATTCTTCATCGGTGAGGCCTTAAGACTTGACCAACAAATAGTTACGAACGCTTCCTCATTCCAATTCCCTCCCCTCTGCTTTCTGCTTTCGTTTCTCCACAGCCCTATTTATTGGCTGCGTTCTCCAATTGGATGTAAGCTGTACAGGGCAGGGATTTTGCTTCGCTCAGTTGTATCCTTATAATCCTGAATCGTGCTTGGCACGTAGTAAACGCTTAGCATGTATTTCAGGAAAATCAATCAGTTATATGAGCGCCATCCCAGTCCTAAAAATCGCCACCTATTCGCCTCTGATAAAGGGAACCAAGAAGGGGCAAGGGACGTGAGAGCATCTCCCGTCCCCCAGTTCCTTTCCCCGTACGCACCAGAAGGGTCATTGAATCGTTTCAGGGGCGCCTTAGAAAAGGACATGTCGACGACCAGCTCCGCAAAACCAAATGTCTCTAGAGCTCCTCGACCACTTCCTGTGGCTTGTTAGTCTAGTCGCTTCAAATTCAAATCTCCCCGCTTTTTCCCCGCCCACTCGATATTAGCCAATCGGAAAACCAAAATCTTAGGCACACCAATCCAGGATGGGAACATCCAAAGAGCATGCGTACTCGGCTTTCGTCGCGACCAATTAGGTGGCCTGTTAGTTTAGGTTCTCATCCAATAGGAGGTTATTATTATTTCCTCCCGCCCCCAATCCTACCCAACTGGTCCAATCACTACTGGCGTTACTCAATTGTAACTATGCACGAGCAGCCTTTGCTCAAGCGCAGTTCACACCAGAGAATTTTCAGTCGCTTTTGACGTCATATTGGTGACAGTGTAGTGAGTTCTAGCTTCACAGGTTCCAACCGTTTCCTATCGTTCTTTGGATGTAAACGCTTCTGGATTTCAGTTCTTTCAACCTGAATCCTGCCAGTGTCTGTCCTAAATGGCCACTGAAAGTGAAAAACAAACAAGCGGAGACAGCAGATGACTTTGCTGCGCATGTGCAGTGACCCAAACGAAGAGGACAGGGGGTGGCCTAAGCGCGGAGATTCCGCGCGTGCGCTCGGCTCGCTCGGTGCCACCGCAGCCGGGAGGCGAAGTGGAGTATGTCAGCCCCGTTTGAGGAGCGCAGTGGGGTGGTTCCGTGCGGGACGCCGTGGGGCCAGTGGTACCAGACCTTGGAGGAGGTGTTCATTGAAGTTCAGGTGCCGCCAGGCACTCGCGCCCAGGATATCCAGTGCGGCCTGCAGAGCCGGCATGTGGCGCTGGCCGTGGGTGGCCGCGAGATCCTCAAGGTAGCGGCAGGTCGGGGCTTGTACTCAGTTTCTTCTCGGCCCCTCCTTCCCACCCCCTCCCCCACCAGATCTCCGAGTCATAAAGTTCATGGTTTCTGTGGAAGGGCTGTTGGAAGGCCGTTCGGCTCCTGTGGCTGGCCGAAAGAAGGATAAAATTGCCCTGGTTTTGGTCTGGTCGGAGCCCCCACCCTCAGGGCCAGTCCCGATTGAGGTGGGAATTTGAGGAGCCCATCTCCCTGGGTTTGTTTTTAAGCTAAATGAAGATGCTCCTTTTGTTCCTCTGAGGGTCTTCAACTGAGAACAGGTTAACTGGATCGTTAAAGAAATACTTTAACTACATATACTTTCTTCCAGGCACTGATCTAGGTGCTGGGAGGACAGCAGTTAAAGATAGTATTCCCTCACTCAGAGAGGTTACGTTCTTGTGGGGAGGCATAATACAACTAAACTAGTAAGTATTTAGGCAGTTATAGAAAAGCAAAGATGAAAATTAAGGATAAGGATGTCGAGATGAGGATTTGGATGTATTGTCAGGTGATTTATTTTCTCATCTGAAATTAGAAAAATCCTGCATATTTGTGGAGTGGTTAAGCAGATGGTCAAGAGGTGAAGTAAGTAATTGTGCTATCCCTTTTATTCTCATCAGTACTCTTTATATCTGATGGTACCCATTTTTTTCCTTGTTAAAAATTATAGTTAAATTCAGTGAAGTTCAAGTTAGATTTCTTTCTCAGATTAGATGCTCGAGATATTTGATACCAGTGTTGTGTAACGGTGAAGGGAGATTACTTGGTAGGATACCTACCTTTGTCATTTCTCTAGTTCTGTAACCTTGGGCCAGAGATTGTTCAGTGTCTAAGTCTTCATTCACAAAGTGGGGTAATTTATAGTACCTTTCTCATAGGATTGTTCTGAGCATAGCATGGTATCCATGTGAGTGAAGAACTTGGAGCAGGTAGTACCTGGTATTTAATAAGGTCACACTACATGTTAGCTGTTATTATTTTATATGGAAGTGTTTTGAGTGCCTCAGAGAAAAGGAAGATTCACGTGAAAGATACTGATTTATGTTAGCTTGCATCTTAACCTTTCTGTATAGTTGTGTAATTCGTAGTTTACTGAACAGTGATTTTGATTTTATAGTCAAATTTACCTTAGTAATTGCAGTAGCTGTGGGAATTTAGCAATAACTAACTCTAGGATTTTTGGCACGCATTTAGGCCAGTAGGAGTTTTTTTCCACTGGTATTGACATATTTTTAAAAATATGTTTTCTCTTTGTTAATGTGATATTTTAATTTTCTAAAGCTTAAATTTAGTAAGTAGGAAAAAAATCAAGATGAATTTTAGCAGGTGCATTATCTTTTAAACTTTTCCTTTTCTTAGTTCTTTCTTAAAACGAGTTTCTGAATAATTAGTCACAACTAATCTGATATCAGATCTACAGTATGTACTTTAAAATATTTTTTAGTGTTAAATTGCCTTGCAAAGAGATTGAGCCAGTTTTTAAAAGTTTATTTTAAAGACATCATTTCTTCTTAATATCAGCAGGAGACCTCTTCTTGTAGTTTATTATAATTGGTAAAGTTAAAACATTTCAGATATTAATTTCACATATGGCCAATCAGTGATCAGAAGTATTTCTTCATCTTATAAAAAAAGAGCCTGATCTTTCTGTAGAGAGCACTGTGTTCTTTGTTATAGTAAATATACCAAGTAGTATAAATAAACTAGGTTCTGTCTCACTCGCTAGGTGGGAATTTAGGGATGAATACCTATCAATGTGTTGAAGTAGTATTAACTTTGATCTCCCCTTTCTAAACTAATTAGGCAATTGTATGTGGATTAGATAGGAAATTAGCTAAGTCTTGAATCATGAAAGCCTTATAAAAATTAATGAAATCTCTATTTTTTAGTACTTCATATGTTTATTTTTCAGGGCAAACTCTTTGATTCTACAATAGCTGATGAAGGAACATGGACTTTGGGTAAGGGTGATCTATTATTTTTCTTAGAATCTTTTTAAAAATTAATTTTGTCTTGGAACATAGTATGTTTCCCCTCTGTTGTACTAAGTCCTTTGTCTTTGCAGCTCTGAAAGATACAGTAATAGAAACATATTGAAAGCAATTGTATATCAAGATTACCTAATGATTTTTGAAAATATAAACTAATGATGAACTCTAATTTCTTTGTGATTTTTGTTTGTTTAGAGGATAGAAAAATGGTCCGTATTGTTCTCACAAAGACAAAGAGAGATGCAGCAAATTGTTGGACTTCTCTTCTAGAATCTGAATATGCAGCTGATCCTTGGGTGCAAGACCAAATGCAGAGAAAACTTACATTAGAGAGATTCCAAAAAGAAGTAAGTCAGATGAATGAATATGTGTAGTTAAACGTCTGTAAATCATAGGATAATTATTATTTGAAACTAAAACTCAAATGTGGTTTTAAAAAAATAAAAACTCTTTAGAGGAATATTTTAAGTTAAATGATTAGAAAAGTGACTGGCCTTTCTATGTATGGATTTGATTCCCCACCCTTGGGAGGAATTTATTTGTACTGCTACGATGTCTTAAGTTTAAATCTATTTAGTGTACATCAGTAATGCATGAATAAACTCATAAAAATTCAATCAATGCAGACTTACATTATGTAAAAAAGTGTAAGGCCCTTTAATCAATGTCTTCTATCCTATGCCTGTCTCATTCTCATCTCATCAGTAGATTGGCTGGATTGTTTTATTTTTAACATAAATGGAGGATCACACTGTGTGTAATGTTCATGTTGCTTTTTCATTTAATGTGTTGGGTCTCTTTCCCTACTGGTACTTACAGATAAAATTCATTCCTTTTAACTGCTTCAGAGTATTTCCTAGTTTCATTGTATTGTAATTATTTATTTAGCTATTCCTCTTTGATGAGATTTAGATTTCTTTGTGTCTATTTCAAATGAAGTTTGTGCCTTTATCTCTGAAACTATTCAAACATTCCTTTAAGATAGATATCTAGGAGAATTATTTCTGGATCAAAGCATTGGTAAAGTTTTGGTGGATAATTTCCATCTATATGATGGTAATTCCCAAATGTGTATCCCTAGCTTGGACTTTTCACCTGAATGTTGGACTCACATATCCAACTGCCTATTTAACACATTCTCTTAGCTGTCTAACAGACATATCAAACTCGACATGTCCAGAGTGAATGCCCTGATTTCCTTCCCTCAACTGTTCTACCTCCAGACTTCTCATCTCAGTTAATGGAAACTCTTTGTTCAAACCAAAAAAAAAATTGGAGAATCG